ATTTTATTGATTTATTCTTGAGAGTGTTTCACCGCTGAGCAGTCTGCCGGCGCTCATTTGGTGAAGTACGTCCGAGCTAAGCATTAGCGCCGCAGCCTCAGAAAGCCTCCCAGCATGCCTCACTCGTCACTGTGTCATAAGCCTATTTTCATAACTACAACGCTGCCGTTCTGAGCTTTAATTGAAGCTACTTTAAGCCATGGGATGTAGGATAAGAGTGCGTTGGTTTTTTCTGTAGTGCCATACACAGCTAATCAGAAACCAAGACACTTTGTAATTGTCCACCAGTGGAGAGCGCTGTCACTGCCTCGATTTCCCTAAAAATCAAAACCCATGGTTGACTTTTCTCTGGATTTCCTCTCTCTTTGCTGCAGGCTTTCATCACTGGAGACTCAGAGAAGATCAGAAAAAACGTCAACGGTTTAAGGTAATGAATCCATCGTTTCCACCTTTGTAAAGGTTCACGAAAGAAGCACTGATAATAGTGAGGATGATGAAGATTTGGACTGAATCTTCATCAGGGTTTTTTTTACTCCCTTTTAGATAGATGGATGGAGGGTTGGATGGAGGGTTGGATGGAGGGATGGATAGATTTTCTTTTACTCATATGAACTGAATATACTTTTGTAAATACTTGCTACGTCGAGGTACATTCAGGATCTCCCAGTACTCCTTCACTGATCTACTTCTTCGGTACCGCTGATTTAAACTTTCAAACTACAGAGAACTCAGAGAATAACAACGTGGGAACTATTATTAAAGAATAAGTGCTGCCAGTTTCTTATTACGTCTTCAATCCTCTGCTCCAGGGTGAGATTGTGTTTTATCAAAAGTGAAGGAACCTCTGTGGTGTGTGTTGTGGCACACAGACTTCTTAATCAGGTGTTTTATTTATTTATGGCCGTAGGATTAGTGTGGGGTGAGGATGTGCCTGTAGACACACACACACACACACACACACACACACATCGAACACAAGGCCACAGCCGTTCACAGCGTGGTCACCGGAGACACATTCATGACACATGGTATTACCAGGTGTGAACAACGGCACACATTCAGGAGAAGGAGAACGGTTGTTGATACAACGTCTTAAAGGAGCCCGAGAGACGGAAGAATAAAAAGAGACATTTTTTAATTTGACCATTTCTGTCCAAACGGTGATAAATTTGAAATACGACTTAATAAAAACATCTCTGATATAACGCGTGATGTTGAAACACTTTTTCAACATCTGTGGCGTTATCTGGGGCAGGTAATAGCAGGCACTTTCTGTGCACCTGGCCTCCTGGTCATCGGTTCGGCTCTTAGGGAGCAGAAAAATGTCGTACAAGAACTCGTCGCCGAGCAGAGCAGACGATTACGTCATCATTCGTGGCTATTAGCGACAGCTTTGTTGACGTAATCGTACAGTGGACTGTCCTACATTCACTTTCTTTCATTTGTGTTGTTTTTTTTGGAACTTTCTGCCTTTCATTCTGACTATTATAAATATATTACAGTATCATGATGTTACCACTGTGTTAGCTTAGGTATCTGTAAAACTCAAATTTTAACCAAATTTTCCACCTATGGATTCCATTTTGTTCTGTACATTCTGCTCCCGTGGTTTGAAATTAATGAATTCTTATTAAACATATTGTGTACTGTACATAATAGCATGGTGTTCTGGACCTTAGGGGAGTCGGTGCAGCTGTGGCCCACGGTTTGTTTAAACTGATTAAACTCAGAGGATGAATTAATTTCTGAAGAGCCGGCACCAAATAAGGAGATAATCTTCATTGGGCCAAAACCGCTCTCTCAAAGGAGCGAGATAAGAGGAACGGGTGCAGAAAAAATAAAAAAACATTCTCTCATATTATTAATAGACTTTACAGACAGCTGTGAAACACCAGCAGAAACAAATCCACTCGAGTTTCTTGGCAACAGCGTTTAAACAATAACAACAGACGATGAAGATGAAGTAAGTCCTGAAGACGATCGGATCAGAACCCTGCCTTTACAGCAGGAAGATTTAGGTTTGCTGGTTCAATTCCTAGTCTTACAGGAAGGGAGGTTGCATGATCTCCTGTGTGTGTGTGTGTTGGGGGGCGTGGGAGTGGGGGGGGGTCTAACATTAGTGATTAGGTTTAACTTTTACCACTGGATCACCAACAGCAAAGTCTCTAGGAAATGTTCTCTATGTTAATACACAGGATTCATTTGGTTTGTATAAAAATATGTAGACTCAGTCTACAGTCCATGGTCCATGGTCTACAGTCTATGGTCTACGGTCTATGGTCTACAGTCCTATTATAGTCCTTTTCCCTCCAGTGTATAACTTTCCCCAACAGTCAGTGTTCTCACAACGAGAGTAGAACAACACAGAATTATAACTTGACGAATCACGAGGTCGGCTGTAAAACAAACAGCTGACTTTGATCTCCGTGCTGAACCCACGAGCCTCAGCCTCGCTGACATTTGTTGTTTTCCTATAATCCCCATATTCACCAGAGTTTCTGAAACAGCGGGTCACTGCAGAGTGACGGTCCGTGCAGTGAAAAGTTACTGCAAACCAAATGACAACAGACGAGGTTCGTTAACAGGCCCGCGTCAAACTGAACGCCTCGGTTTCTGAGCTGCTTTTGTAACAAAAACGACCTCCATTATGAATTCAGGACATCGTGAAGACAGTGTTTTGTACCAAAGTGAAATAAACAGAACACACTCGTTATCATTTACATATGTTTGTCTGCCTGGTTCAGATAAAGTGTTAGAAAGAACTGGAGTAGAAAACAGAGTCGGGCCAGTGTTCTCATCAAGGACAGCAATTAGTAAACAATGCAAATTAATGCTACTGCTCATCGCCATATATATATATATATAAATATATATATATATATATATGATAGACAGATTTAAAAAGAAAATTACACACAATCTTCATTTTCATATAACCACATGGGTTTGATTGTGTAATCATAGAATAAAAATTAATCAAGTGGAATCAGATTAGTTCTGGATGTAAAAAAGGGACGTTGTACTTCATGTTAAACAACGTTATTTAAAAGGGATTTTTTTTTACGTTAATTAAATTCCATTACAATTTGGTTGAGTACTGTGTCGCAGCACGGTGCATTAACACACACTACACACGGAGCAGATGATGAACGTCAGTCAGGTCAATGAGAAGGACGTGAGCAAAAAGGAAGATGACAGTAAAGAAGAGGGGGGGGGGCAAAAGAGAGAGAGAGAGAGAGAAAGAGAGACCTCTGATAAAGACAGGGGGGGGGGGCAAGTTTGAGATGGAGCACACTCTTGATTCCCAGCCCTGCCAAGGCAAGTAGGAAAATTGCTTCATCTATTTTTAGCAACAAAAAGTTCCTAATGCTTACACACACAAACACACACGCACACAAACACACACATGCACGCGCTTCTTGGCAGTGAAGTAATTTGCGGCAGCACCATGATCAAAAACAGCCTGGTCAGCTGTTTCTGTCCGCACTCAGAGAGCGGCCGCTCGTACATCCTGCTCATTAGGTTTGGTTGCAGATTGGGTTCTATTTAAAGACAACAGCAGCAGCAGTTGCAGCAGCAGTTGCAGCAGCAGCAGCAGCACGGAGGTGTTGGAAGTAGCACAGGCCTCCAGTGGGCGGAGATAACAGGATGCATCGGTGGTTGATGCTTCTCCAGTTCAGGGTGTTGTGACTGCGTGAACTTCAGGGCAGTTATTTTAATCGGATGTGATTCGGTTGTTGTGATGCGTGGCTGGACCCTGACTGTATAATGAGACCCTATATAAACAGCTGTTGCTATGAAACAGGTGTTTTAGCTTTGACTAATTGTGCGGATGCTGCTGCTGCTTTTGTTCTTGTTGCTGTGCGCCGTTGGGAAAATGTCCGTTTTTGCTCGGATTTTCACTTTGGTAATGCACTACCATTTACTTAGCGAGTATGATTTTTTTTTTTTTTTTACCCCTGTAGGATTGTTTAAAAGCACAACAGAAAAGAGGAAGAAGACAAATTGTAAAGTTTTAGTTAATCTGTATTCAGGTTTTAGAGATTGTCAAAGTGCAGCGCAGTGCGGGAAATCTCTCAGCGGTCTAGGCCTAAGGCAGCGTAATAATAAAAAAAGAAAATGGAACTTTATTGATCCCGTGTTAACAGCAGGTCTACTGCAACAGTGTGTGGTTATTCTTATGATTTGTGATTGTTTATTTTATCTTAATTTGAACTTAAATTCATTTTGATCTTACATGAAGAAATAAACAAACACAGCTTTGGTTCTGGTCTAAAAATGTAAAACAAAATAAACCTGAAACTCCAACCTGTGCAGAGAAGACAGACAGGACTGAGATTTTTTCCAGGCTCAGTTTAACATTTTTTCCAGGAGTTTCTACTTGGCTTTAAGCCTGTCACTCTCCTCGGCCTCAGCTCCTCTGAACACTTACATCTGCACAGGATTTAAATCATTAAGTTGACCATTGACAAGACGCAGAACTACAGCACAACAAAGGCCCCCTGGTGGTAATCTCTCGGTGTTTCACATATGGGTTAGTTACACAGAGGAATAAAGAGTACTGCATAAAAGAGTAGTGAAAGGTAATTGAAAATGAAATCATCCATAACTGAAAAAAAAACAAACAAACAAAAAAAGAAGGGCCAGAAAAAAAGAATTGGTGCATCACTTGACAAATTCAAAACACAAACTACATTATGCAGCCAAATGCACAAAGGTACTCATTAAAAATCTGGTCGGCAAGAGGAAAACAAAAGGAGTTGAATGGGGAGTCTCGTTCCCTGGTCATTAACTATTTAAGATGTTGGGCTCCAGGCTCGGTCTCTCTCTCTCTCTCTCTCTCTATCTCTAATGGCTGTCCTTCAGATAGGCTTCGTCATGGACAGAAACAGAAACAAAAACAACCTCTCAGTTCTCGGAAGTCTCCACTCACAGTTGCGTGTAACCGTGGTGACGATCTTTCTACAGTATGTTCCTCAAGACATCGATTAAAAAGTATCTGGAAACTACAGTAAAATATAGGGAAGTCTGATATTGATTAATAATATTGATATGCCGATATCGAGTATTGAAACACTTAATTTCCGATGTCGATATCAACTGATACCGATATATATTCAGTTGTTTTCCTCCAAAACTGCAGTAAACGCCTCAAGACCCCACAGCGAGCATATTTGGAAAATCCCAGGGATTGCGTTATCGGGTTTTCATTTTCGGAGGAAAGAAACGATAACGATTCTTCCAGATATTACATATTTAGTCTAATAATTATCCAGTCTTATAACTTATCCAATAAGTTATTTGAATGCCTTTGTAAGACTTTCATTAAAACCATCCACATCACTGAGCTAAATTCTAACCTCAGATTATTCACAGATTTTTATCTCCCAACACACTTGGCTGTTTATAAAAAGTGAGCACACAGTT